TGTCATTTGTTCCCACATGGACTATCACTCTTGTGATGGAGGACGGGAGCGACGGCATCAGGTCCTGGAGTTTTTTTTAAAATGACAGCCGTGGTGGCACCGGGGAAGCAGCGAGTGGTAGCGTTAAAGAAACAGATGTTTCTGGTTATGGAGTCACCAATTATTAGTGTGGTTGGGGAGAAAAGAGGACGAGGAGATGCTGGTTGTTGGGATCCAGAGCAGGACTGAGCAGAATCTGCTTCAACACTGCGTGCGGACTGAGGATGGAGTGTGTGAGCTGCCGAGTGTTGTGTTGGAGTAGCAGTAACAGACCTGAGAGAAGGGCTACCCGACGGTGCAGGGTAGAGACGGCCTCCGGAGCGTCTGAGCACAGCCTCCTTCAGGATCCTACGTCGGGAAGCGGAGGTTTTTGACCGGGATGACGGCCGCCGATCAGGCCCGGCGGCAGACCGGCGGCCCAGTGCAGGAGATGTAGCCGGTGGAGGAGATGCAACAGTGTCGGCAGGCACTGTGCGCCGAAAGAGATCCGTATCAGGGAGACTCGAAGCCGCAGGTGAATCCGCTGGATGGACCGGAGTGTCGTTAAACAGGGCTGCATAGCGGTTGGAGAGGCCGATGTGCGGAGGAGAGGCAGCCCCATCCGAGCCTCTCTTGCAGCCACGGACCACCACTTCAGCCCAGGTTGACTGATGCTTCGGAGTCGAGCAGGATGAAAGCCTGGGAAGACTAGAGGGGTCCCAAAACACGGTGTCCTGGATGTTAGCGGTTGCGCTAAGAGAAACAATCTGTTTGGCTTGTACTGAAGCTACATCCATAAAGCCAGTCAGCAGGGAATCTTTCTCTTTGAGTCGTCGGATGTCTTCCATAAGGTCAGCAATCTTCTTGTTTGCTTTCTTAAGGAGTGAGCAGTCCTCATGGGGCAGAGTTATCTCGGCTTGCATAGTCACCGGAGCTTTGTTGCGATCAGTAGCGTTGATCGCGTTTTTACGGTCATCTAGTTTAAAATCCATGTCGGATGACTAAAATCCTTAACCCACGTAAAACTTAAATAAAGTTAAGTTAAATAAAAAGGATATAAAAAATGTAACGGAAAAAAAAAAGAGTGGATTAAAACTGGATAAGAGTTTGGTTTAAGACGGAGCTTCCGACAGGTGGCTACAGACGCCAACGCATGCGCAGAGTGCAGATTACGTCAGCAATTACGTCAGAGATCTTGTGATAATGATTATGTCCATGAAGGGCAAACATTAACAAAAAACATTTACATTTTCTAATTTGGCAGACCCAAAGTGAATTTGAGGAACAACATAGAAGCATCAACTACAGATCTACAACTGACAATACATACTAGTAAGAGCAGCAATAAATACTAGTAAAGGCTCATAGTACATATCACATCAATGGGGTAAATACCTAGGGGAGGAAGTAAGAGTTCAATCAATACAAGATCATTGTAGGGGATAGAAGAAGAAGAGCACAGGAAGTGCATGTTAGATGTTAGGAGTTAGTGGTGTTATAAGAGGAAATGTTCTCGGAAGAGCTTCTTGATGTTAGAGAGGGACGCCCCTGCTCTGATGGCGTGTGGTAGCTCGTTCCACCATCGTGGTGTCACAGATGAGAATAGCCGGGACTGGGATTGCTTTGTGTGAAGGGATGGCAGAGCCAGGCGGCGTTCGTTGGAGGAGCGTAGCGGCCGAGAAGGAACGTAAGTTTGTATCATGGAGTTTAGGTAGATGGTGCAGACCCAGTAGTCACTCTGTATGCAGCATTAGTGACTTGAATCTGATTCTGGAGGCCACGGGGAGCCAGTGGAGGTCACTGAGTAATGGAGGGACATGAGTCCTTTTGGGCTGATCAAAAACCAGACACTTGCACTCAGGAACACACTTACTGTGTAACTACACAAACTTAACACGCCACAGGACGCTCTCCACCCGTCGCCATTACAGCGCCACTCTCACTCTCGAGTGTCACTCAAAGTTATGTATGAGGTGACAGTGTATTGGTGTCTCTGGTAGTGGCACATTCTTCAGCGGACACAAACACGTCTCTGCATGAATGACGTTTTTTCTTTAACTGCTGGATGTGGAAAATATCTGCTACTTTGCTGTTAGGCACGCCGTCGAGACGGTGGCTGAAATTAGGATAAAGCTAGCTCGTTGTGCGCACTGTCAGTTGTAGGTATAACAAGCTAGCAAATGCCTACGCCTCTTCATATTGCAATATTAAAACACAAAGAATTTAGACTCTTCTCTCCTTTATTTACTTTCTTACCTTATTTACAATGCATGACTTTTTGGTCCATATCGCTCAGCCCAGGGGTCCAGGGGTAATAATAAATGTACGTTTATAGTATCAAAATATGCTTCTCCTATTTATATTTGTGGAAACTGATGGGAGACAAGACGAGCTTGCATGGAAAAAGTAACAATTTATTTTACAAATTAAGATTCAACAAACATGATAAGGTGTGAATCAGTATCAGTCATGCCGGTGTGTGAAACGTCGGTAAGAACACAAAAGCAATCAACAGCTGCACCCGTGATGAGAGAGACAGGACACCAAGTGCCTAAAGGAAACTCACTCAACAAAATTACTACTACTCTACTTAAAATTTAAAAAATGCCTATTTTCAGATAGTAGTACTCAAAAATATGAATACAACTCCATTATTACAATTCAAGTTCAACACAAAATAAGGCACATCTTCCATAAAGCTGAATAGACTATTAAAGTAATTGACTGCTTGATCAGCAACAATTCTGATAATTAGTTTTCATTCTTTTATGCAATAATGTTGAACATTCCCTATTTCCAGATTCTGAGGGTGCTTTCACATCTGTAGTTCGGTTCATTTGGTCCGGACCAAGTGAGAAAAATTATACACTCTTGTATTTTAGTTCTTGTCCGGTTCATGTTCACACTGCAGTTTTACAAACGAACCAAGAGAAGTAAACATGAAGTTACACAGACGTACAGGTAACTTGTTGATTGGACAGCTTTGGCGATTGTCATCCTGCATCATCAGGACCCACATGGGGGGGAAAAAACTCCAGTGACCGACGAAGTTTCTGCAGCACTTTAATGCTTCTGATCAGTATCGCAAAGAGCTCACAAAGTCATCATAAGCATGATTAGTAACATTAGACAGCAGATCGACCACATGGCCTATTATGAATAATAACGTAAAAACAGGACATACAGTAATAATTCGGGGCCCGTTGGCCGACAGCATAGGCCTACTGTGGTATCGCTGTCACAAATGTTTTATGGACTTGAAGAACTGACAGGGTAAACAGAGTACTAATGGCACTCCTTTTTTGACAAATTTGAACCTATTAATCAGGGGAAATATCGGCGCTGCCAAGTATACGTTACCAAATGATTTTCATAAACATACCGGCTTATACAGATCAATTATAAAATCGCTGAACACGTCTTGCAGTCAGACGATGGATTTATTAGCCGTTTAGCTTTGGAAATAATGCTTATCATAAAATCCTGTGGTTGGTTTGTTTGTTTTCACACCACAAGCGAACTGCACCAGAGTTTGCTTGAAAGCGTACCAAGACCTCCTTGACGAGGTGGTCACACCCCATCCTGAAAAGTGACGGGAACCCTGTTCAGCAGCGCGTTTTAGAAATTAATCCACTTACCTGGAACCCGAGGAGTCAACAACCAGCCAAACTGCAAACACTGCAGCCTGTCAGACCAGGATGCTGTATCATATAGTCTATGGATATAAGCTATTTTAAAAACACAAAGCAGGTCCCTCCCGACATTTTTACTGATCACGTATTCATAACAGCAGCAATGAGGATGATTTTTACAAAGCATAACGTTAGAACGTTTTTAACGCCACTGTTCAAGCAAGTGTCTCTACTTCAGAACTAATGTTACTGTTTTGTACATGTATTTATAAGAAGTATTCCGTGCTCTGACATAACACAAAATGTCACAGGACACACACCCAAAATGGCGGCGCCCAGTAAAGCCACAAGGTCTTCTAAAACCAAAACATATCAGACCGTATGCAACGTTCAGTACTTTCTCTCAGTGCAAAATAAATCTACCTTTTGCAGTAATGTGAAAAAGAATGAACAAAAACAGTTTTAAATGAATTACCTCGCTCTTGAACCAGCAAGGACTGTGCGTCGCGGGAAATCCCACGGACATCAAAGCTACCGATGCTGCTAGATGTCTCCAGCTCTATATATCTAAACACTGAATTTACAACTAAATTCTTACAGCAGTTAGCTACCACGTTTGTAGTGTTGAAGCTAGCCCCAGTGTAGTCAGTTTTTTTAGCTGTATTTTCTCCAGGTTTCTACGTTTTTCAGTTTTCATCCTCCACAGCAGCGCGTCTGTCTCCACACACACGGCAGCGGAGAAAAAAAAACTTTCGCTCGCTCAGAGATACGGGTCTGCATAGTCTGCATTAAAAAGAAACACCTAGATACTTAGAGAAATTCCCACCAGACTGCCAGGGAAGGTCATTTTTACCGGTTACGATCATTCCAGCGCTTCTCATTATGGAACGCAGACCGTGAGGTAGACTGGTCCAATGCTAGTTATTTTTCAAATCAGTACACCATCCGGGTATTTTTGGTACACTGTGGACATTGCTTTTGTATGCAGTCTTCTGCTTCTGCACGATCTTCTGCTTCGTTACGAACCATCCAGACCTCTCAGGTGGTCTGGGGCAGGTCTGCTTTCTGTCCCCAGAGTCAAAACTAAACATAGAGAAGCAGCGTTCAGTTATTATGCTCCGTATATATTGGAACAAACTCCCAGATAACAGCAGGTCTGCAGTTAGTTCTATTAAATTAAATTAATTAATTATTATTTTCTTTTTATTGATAACTTCATGTGGTACAGTAGGTTAGCATGTGATTTCAAAGATGTGCTCTAATGTCATTTATGGTTTTAGACAGCTCGCTCCACCATGACATCTCACTGTGTCTCTGTTGATACAGAAAAGGAGAGGAAGAGATGGAATCAAATGTCACCGCTGTCAGCACTGTGACAAATCCTTCACAAGATGTGGATCTTTGAAGATTCATCATAGAGTTCACACTGGAGAGAAACTGTACAGGTGTGAACTGTGTGGGAAAACTTTCACTTCATCAGGTCACCTAAAACACCACCAACGTGTTCACACTGGAGAGAAACCGTACTGGTGTGACCAGTGTGGGAAAACTTTCACTGCATCAGGTAACCTAAAAATACACCAACGTGTTCACACTGGAGAGAAACCATACAGCTGTGACCAGTGTGGGAAAACTTTCACTACATCAGGTGACCTGAAAACACACCAACGTGTTCACACTGGAGAGAAACCGTACAGGTGTGACCAGTGTGGGAAAGCTTTCACTACATCAGGTAACCTAAAAAAACACCAACGTGTTCACACTGGAGAGAAACCATACAGCTGTGACCAGTGTGGGAAAACTTTCACTGTATCAAGTGACCTGAAAACACACCAACGTGTTCACACTGGAGAGAAACCGTACTGGTGTGAACAGTGTGAAAAAACCTTTTCTCGATCAGGTGCCCTGCAAAGCCACCAACGTGTTCACACTGGAGAGAAACCTCACTGGTGTGAACAGTGTGGAAAAACCTTCGCTACATCAAGTCACCTAAAAACTCACCAACGTGTTCACACTGGAGAGAAACCGTACTGGTGTGAACAGTGTGGAAAACGTTTCGCCCAATCAGGTACCCTAAAAATTCACCAACGTGTTCACAACAGGAGAAGAACCCTGACACAAATGCATTCACAAAGCATCAGTGTGACAGTTTTCACAGAGCCAAGCTAGCTGTTTCCTGCTGCCCTGAATACAACCACCTGTTATCATGTGACTGTGATGACAGCTGAGGAAGTTTGATTTGGAAAGAGCTGGAAAGTGTCAGTTCAAAGGGTTTATAAATTCAGTTCAATTTTATTATTTTCACAGCATAATTAACAGTTATCTCATAGAGCTTCTCATAAAAGAGCAGGTCTAGACTGTACTCTATGATATTAGTTACAGAAACCCAACAATTCCCACTAAGATCAGCACTAAGCGACAGCGGCAAGGATAAACTTCCTTTTAAGAGGCAGAAAAGTGGCTCAGGGTGAGAGAGAGATGGGTGAACAGCCTGCGCAATATATACACACAGAGGTAACACACAGAGGTACAGACAGCAAAGGCAGAGAAGCACCGATTGTTCGGCCACTGAAATGAATTGGCTGAAAATGGCAAAAATAGCATTTTCAGTGACCAATTAAATTTTACAGAACAATTACGTTGACATGTCTGCAGTGGGGAAGCATTTTAAAATGTCAGAGAAAGACACAAAAATTGCCGTTTGTAGACACTGTTCTGCTGAATTGTCTCCTAGCACATCCACACCATCTGTGGCTGACATCTTAGAAAAAGCAACAAATGGTCTGAGTGTTTGTCACTCGTTTCTGAGACGTCGATTAAGCTAGCCGCACCTAAATTTGGCGTGCACACATATTCAAAACTGAAACGAACCAGAGAGAACTGCCAGGCAGGTTGGAGACTTTATCCTGTCAGTTTCTCTATTTACAAAGACAAGTGTGTGATTGTGAGAGTCCTACCTGAAGAGAGGCTGTGAAGTCTTCATGTTACGCAATAGGAGAACCACATACATTATTTATCAAATTGGGTTGGACTTGATGAATTTAGCTCAAGGATACACATGTGACAACGTCCGGTTTTAAAAATAAGGTGTCCGTGCAGGATGGAAATAAGATGAATTGGATTATATTCACAGAAATTATAAAACATAATACATGTGTACTCCACAAAATTAAATTAGGTTGATTGAGGATATGACAGTTTGTTATAAAGTCAATGTGACCATGGTCAAGGGGGCAACTGAAATGGAAACATATAGATTTTACCTACATCCGGGGTCTTAAAAGGTAATAAACCAATTTTGTGGCTGGTTTTCTTACCTACACACACACTGCCCCCTCAGTGACCCATCCATCACCAAAAGCTGTCATCTTGGAGGAAACTACACTGCTGTTGTCCTTTTGCGCTCTAGATGCTGCTTTAAGTTCATCATATTGGATTATTGTTTCTTATTTCATGGGCTATTTGGGATTTTTGAGTATATATAGCATATAGAGCATATATAGTAGCCTAGTTTTGAAAAAGAAAGTATTACATTTTAAGGGTCCAATAGTTTGATGTTTCATAAGGCAATGAGAAAGTAAACCTGTTACATATTTGTGATCTCAGTATTGACCAAAATAATTAGCAGCCCTACATGAACATTTAATTTAATTCAGGAAATTATAGAACATTTGTTGTTTGTAACAGCTCCTCTGCCTTCTTTCTGTACAGGCTAATGATTCATTCATTACATTTTTTGAAAAAACTTTTGAAATGGTTTTAAATTTGAGTAAGAGCGCATTATGACTTGTTAAGGACTCAAACTCAAAGTTTAAGACTTGGGACTCGACTTTGGACTTGAAACTTGACTCGGACTTGTAAAACGATGACTTGGTCCCACCTCTGCAGAAGACAACAGGGAAAATATAAACAACGTTTGGCTAACGTTAGCTGGCTATTTAGCTAACTCTGTGCCTTTTATTGAAACATTTTCACCTTTTCATAAAGCCGAAGCGCTCGTCAGTGTCACTTTTTGTGATCAGATCTATCACAGCCTGAATGGAGCGGGACAAAAGTTTGATGTGCTACAGCAAACTATTCAAAAGTTGAAATCGTTCTGCATAAATAGTTATGATTACTGACGAGTTAGTAGCCTACTTAAAATTAAAGTTGGAGACTAACTACCATGCAGCCTAGAGCATTTTTCTTGAACAAGTTAATGAATAAAAAACAACCCCAAAATGAAACTGCAGTAACTGGAATTAATATTATAATAGTGGTAAACTGTATTCGATTATAATGAATATAGTAACATTAACAGTATACTTGTAAAATATTATAGATTCATTTATACTAGCTGATGTAGATTTAGCCAGAGCCAGGATGCCATTGTGCCAATATGTGCTCCTTCTAGCCGCCTCCTTTAATCTTTAGGATGCAGACAGCAGCAGCTGATCACAAATGTCTGTGTGCTACACCGCCTACACTACCAACGTTATCATCACTCTTTTTATTCTCTTCAGCTTTGTTCCCTTCTGGGGTTTTTGAATTATGTTGTATTGATACAGTAGTTGATGAAAGACTGTTTACTTTTACAGTCTCAAAATCAATTTATAGTAAGTTAAAGGTTCATTGTGTAGTTTCTAGTGGCTTCTAGCAGTAAGGGTTCAGATTGCAACCAACAGTTCACCCTTTCCACATTTATGCCTGAAAATAAATTACAACTATGTCAGGTAGTTATCAACTGGTCAGTGCATGCAAGCAAACATTATCTACTTTGAAACAACTAAAACACAAAATCACTCTGTTCACATGATTTTCAGTAATGTTGCAAACATAAACGTCATAGCCGATTTAAGACAATGGATTTTCGCAGGAAATTTGACCAGTTCTTCACAAAGAAAACAGGTCTATACAGACTGAGAAGGTTGGTGAATGCCTCAGCTTTTAGAAGAGATTACAACCTGGTCACATATAGGCCATAAAAATTTGATTGAATATATTTAAATTTCACAATTCGCGGCCGTCTTATAATACATTAAAAAGGTCTTACAGGGTGTTTTACTTCAGGATACTTGTGTATATACCCTGTATATGTACTTTTATTAATCCTCTATATGTCATTACTTTATGTTCTTTGCTCATCTTATGTGATGTTATAATTTCCACTAAGTGTACCAGTGTTTTGATATAATGACCTTCTGTGAGATTGTTTTGTTTCATGCTTTCCTGTGAGAAAGGAGTTTCCACTGTGGCTCAAGGCTGAGAAAGGCTTTTCTGTTGGACTCCACAATTATTCTCTAGCATTAAATGTCTTCTCTGTTTCTCTGGGTCAGACCCTCTAACAGCCCTCTGGTGTATGAGCTCTGCCCTTCAGCTGAATCACTCTGTTATTCTTACTTTAATAAATATCACAAAGACACCTGTTTGTTGTAACGTCTTTATTTCTTAATTTCTTCAGAAGGAAATTTACCATTTCCACCACAAATCAGTAGGCGTAACCTCAGACGGCCAATCACATGTACCACGACATGTTGTTCACCATCATCCCGTCAGGTCTGTGAGGGCGCTGGGTTGAAAATAAATCTATAAAGTTTTATAAATTACTCTCAAAATTGGTACCACAACCTGGGGCTGCATTAAGGCTGCAGTATCAACGAGCATCAGTTCTGCTGTCAATATTGGAGACGTTTGTCTATGATGATCTTGGTAAAGAAAGATTTTTGGTTTAGAAACACAAACAGAACAAAAAGACGTACAGCATCAGAGACAGTCACAGACGTCACTACATAGATCTGAAGATCATTTTCTTTCTAACCTGCTCTGACTGCAGGAAATGAACCTTCCCGTCTCCATGGTGATGACCCCGCCATCAAAATGTGATAGTAAGTTACTTCGTATCTCATCAGGGAGTGTTGATTTTTTTTTTAACATTAAGATATTAATTATATGACGTTTCTGTTATTTTAATGTCTAATTAATGTAAAAGCAGGATTTTACTGCTGTAGTTGTTGAGCTGGAGCTCGTTTTGTATCAGAGATTTTCAGTAGCAGAGTCTGGTGTGGAGGATTTATGTCGTGTAAAAGAAAACTTAAAATAATAATTATATAAACTTTTGGGAGTTTAACTAATAACAAAACATATTTAAACACTAAAAAGTCCTAATTTGTAAAGTAACTAGTACCTAAAGCTACCAGATAAATGTAGTGAAGTAAAAGTTCAATATTTCCCTCTGAGATGTGGAGCAGAAGTAGAAAGTAAAGTAAAAGTACCTGAGTGTTGTACTTGAGTACAGCAGTGTAGTAAATGTAGCTGTTGTGTTAATGTGAATGTTTTGTGAGGAGCTCTCCAGTTTGTCCTGAGGGACGAACAGACTGACAGTGACAGGAAGCAGCCAGCAGGAGGCAGCAGAGGAGCTTCAGTTTGTTCAACAGATGATAGTTTTCACTTTAAAGTCACTGGAGGAGCAAACTGTGTGCAGAGGGTTTGTGTCCTGTTACCTTTAATAGAAACAACCAGTCCTGCTATAATGGAAGATCAGCAGCCCAGTAAGGTTGTTGTTATTCACAGATTTTAACAGCACAAACATTTTACATTTCACATTAATGACTCTGAAGCTGAAGAAACAAACACTCGTCTGACAGCATCTCATATTTATTGTGTTCAACTTGTTCCAGCTCTTCAGTGAAGTTCGGCTATATGATGTCATCACTGAGTGAGAGATTCAAACCAGATCCTCCATGTTTTTATGGCTGCACCGTTCCATCAAATGGAAATATTCTTCAGATAAACTTCCTCAAAATAAAGTCTGGAAAGTCTGTGGCTGCTATAAGATCAGACTGTATGTGGCCCGAATATGATCACAGACATGTGACTGTCACGTCAAATTAAACCGAGATGTGGGGAAAACATGTAAACATTTATAGGCCTATCAGGTTTGTGTTGCTCTGTTGTACTCTGTGTTTTAGTACCTGCTGCTGCCACAGAGAAGAGATCCTCCACAAATATTATTCCCAACTACCAGCATTTATTTATTAAGTGAGCATCACATCAACATGTTGTTGTTATGAAAACTCTTACTTCTCGTTTACCTGTCCTCTTGGTCATGTATGCTTGCATCATCTTGTCACAAGATCTCTGACGTAATTGCTGACGTAATCTGCACTCTGCGCATGCGTTGGCGTCTGTAGCCACCTGTCGGAAGCTCCGTCTTGAACCGGACTCTTATCCAGTTTTAATCCACTCTTTTTTCGTTACATTTTTTATATCCTTTTTATTTAACTTAACTTTATTTTAAGTTTTACGTGGGTTAAGGATTTTAGTCATCCGACATGGATTTTAAGCTAGATGACCGTAAAAACGCGATCAACGCTACTGATCGCAACAAAGCTCCGGTGACTATGCAAGCCGAGATAACTCTGCCCCATGAGGACTGCACACTCCTTAAGAAAGCGAACAAGAAGATTGCTGACCTCATGGAAGACATCCGACGACTTTCAGAGGAACTCAAAGAGAAAGATTCCCTGCTGACTGGCTTTATGGATGTGGCTTCAGTACAAGCCAAACAGATTGTTTCTCTTAGCACAACCGCTAACATCCAGGACACCGTGTTTTGGGACCCCTCTAGTCTTCCCAGGCTTTCATCCTGCTCGACTCCGAAGCATCAGTCAACCTGGGCTGAAGTGGTGGTCCGTGGCTGCAAGAGAGGCTCGGATGGGGCTGCCTCTCCTCCGGACATCGGCCTCTCCAACCGCTATGCAGCCTTGTCTAACGACACTCCGGTCCATCCAGCTGATGCACCTGCAACTCCATAACCAGAAACATCCGTTTCTTTAACGCTACCACTCGCTGCTTCCCCGGTGCCACCTCGGCTGTCATTTTAAAAAAACTCCAGGACCTGATGCCGTCGCTCCCGTCCTCCATCACAAGAGTGATAGTCCATGTGGGAACAAATGACACAGCTCTTCACCAGTCTGAGCTGACAAAATTAGATTTTAACCGTCTTCTTAACTTTTTAAAGCAGTGCGGAAAGTCTGTTTTTATCTCTGGTCCCATTCCCACAGTCGGTTGCGGTGCTGGCCGCTTCAGTAGACTCCTTGGCCTCCACGACTGGCTCCAGTCCGCCTGCAGGGCTCACCGTGTGTTTTATGTGGATAATTTTAATATTTTCTGGCAAAGAATGTCTCTTTTTAAGACAGACGGACTTCACCCAAACAAACGGGGCTCAGAAATGTTAGCTGCTCACATACAGCATGTGGTGCGGTCCACACATGACTTACGTGAATGACTAATCATTCATGCAGCACACCTGGACGCACCACCGGTCACTGAACAGATCTCTGCCTCACTGCCACAAAAACTGTCTCCACCTGCTGGCATGTAAAGCCGTCTGCTCCCAGCGCTGTTCCACAGACTTCTATTCCTGTCATCATCACGCATAGACCAGTAAACCGAAATGTGCACATCCAACACAGAAATATAGTAATCTCTTAAGGATTAGGACAACTGCACCAACTCCAGCACCCAGAACAAACTCATTTAAAATGGCTCTCTTCAATGTGAGATCACTTTCAAGTAAGACTTTTATCTTAAATGATTTTATCTTGTCTGCAAATCTAGATTTTATGTTTTTAACTGAATCCTGGTTGCAGATGAATGACTATAGCCAGCTAGCTGAACTGTGTCCGCCTCAATATGATTGTTTTAGTCAACCGAGGGTCAGTGGTCGTGGTGGTGGGCTAGTGAGCGTGTATAGGAAAATTTAAAATGCCATCAAGTACGCTGTGATGAATTTAACTCCTTTGAAGTTCTCACTCTTAAAGTTGGAGGGCTGCAACCTATCATATTTGTTATAATTTATCACCCCCCAAAACCGCCTGGAGGATTTTTATCAGAACTTCCTGAATTTTTATCTACTCTGGTTTTAAATTATGACAGAATTGTTCTTTGTGGCGATTTTAATATTCATGTTGATGACCCCAACAATGTTAATGCAACTGACTTTTTAAATATGGCCACTTCTTTTAACTTCAAACAACATGTCAAAGGGCAAACACATAACCGTGGTCATACACTGGACTTGGTTTTTACCCTGGGTGTCAGCATTTCCTCTGTGGAATTAGTGGACATGACCATATCTGACCACAGATGTATTGTTTTTAGCTGCGATTCGCCTGTTACTCATGCCGCCTCACCAAGCTCCGTGTGTTGTCGCATCTTTAATGAACAAAGTGTTTCAAAGTTTTGCGCATTCTTTCAGAGCCAAAGCCAACACCTGTCTGATTCCAACACCAACAATCTGGTCGATCACTTCAATCATATCTGCTTGTCGTCACTAAATATTACTGCTCCTCTAAAGGTTAGGCCTACGTCTAAAGCTAGTAAGCAACCCTGGATAAATGACAGCATTCGCAGTCTCAAAAGGGAATGCAGGAAAGCAGAGCGCAGATGGAAAAAATCCAGTCTCCAAGTCCATTACCTCAGTCTGAAGATTTATTAATTAACTACAATAACTTGGTTAAGGATGCGAGAACACACTATTTTTCTGAACTCATTACTACACATAAACACAATCCCAGGTTTCTGTTTAAGACTGTGGATCAGCTGGTAAACCCAACCCCTCCTTGTGCCTCAGCTGGAAGTAATCATGACTGTGAATTGTTTTTATCTTATTTTACCAATAAGGTGGTGTCAATCAGAGCCTCTATTACCCCCGCAGCCTCTTACTCAGAGGTTCCTCACCAGCAACAACAGGGTTTTAACCAGTTTTATCCCATCGACTTGTCTGAGCTTTTAAAAACAGTATCACAAATGAGTGTCCTCCAGCCCACTTGATAGAATACCTACAAAGTTTTTACTGAAAGTAATAGATTCTGTTGGGCCCCATTTGATCTCTGTTTTCAACAGCTCCCTATCTACTGGTTGTGTCCCTGATTATTTTAAAACGGCTTGCGTGAACCCACTTTTAAAGAAACGTGGTTTAGATCCCTCCCTCCCACATAATTTTAGACCAATTTCAAAACTGCCTTTTATTGCAAAGATTCTAGAAAGAATTGTGTCCAAACAGCTGCTCACTGTGCTGGAAAATAACAAATTATTTGAAAAGTTTCAGTCTGGTTTTAGGAAGTACCACAGCACTGAGACTGCCCTGCTTAAAGTCACCAATGACCTTTTAATGTCTGCTGATGAAGGCATGTGCTCAGTCCTTGTACTCCTGGACCTTAGAGCTGCTTTTGACACCATTGATCACAACATCATGTTAGACAGACTGAGGCACTGGGTGGGGATCTCTGGTACTGCTCTAGAATGGTTTTCATCCTACCTGTCAAATAGGATGTTTTGCGTGTCTGTAAACAACTATGTCTCCTCGTTCTGTCCAGTTAAATATGGTGTGCCTCAGGGGTCGGTCTTAGGACCCATTTTGTTTTCCTTGTATCTGCTTCCCCTTGGACATATTATCCATAAACATGGCATTTCTTTTCATATTTATGCTGATGACACACAAATATACTTGCCCGTCAGATCCACAGACCCTGGAATGCTGAGTTCACTTAACAACTGCCTTTGTGAAGTTAAAAAATGGATGTCAAATAATTTCCTCCAGCTGAACTCAGACAAAACAGAAATCCTGGTCATCGGGTCTCAGCAGATGGCAAATCAAATACTGCCATCTGCTGGTTCCCTAGTAAATCACATTAAGCCTGTGACAAAGAACCTTGGTGTTTGGTTTGATAGTAATTTAAATTTCGAGCAGCACACCACAAAGCTTGTTCAGTCATGTTTTTATCAACTTGGAAATATAGCTAAAATTCGATCTATGTTAACTTTTAAGGACACCGAGACCATTTTACACGCCTTCATCTCATCACGCCTGGATTATTGCAACAGCCTTTTCACCTGTTTAACCCAAAAATCTATTGATCGACTCCAGACTGTCCAGAACTCAGCTGCCCGGCTTTTAACCAGAACAAAGAAATATGACCACATTACTCCTATTTTAGCTTCATTACACTGGCTCCCAGTATGTTTTAGAATTGACTTTAAAATTCTATTGATCACTTTTAAAGCTCTTCATGGCCTCTCACCTTGTTATATTTCTGACCTTTTAGTCCCATACGCACCAGCACGTACCTTGAGATCCTCGGGCAGAGGTCTGTTGTCTGTTCCAGAGTCTCGACTGAAAACTAAAGGGGACAGAGCGTTTGCTGTCAGGGCCCCGAGGCTCTGGAACAGCCTACTCGAGGAAATCAGGTCGGCTGAGTCAGTGAACTCTTTTAAGTCCCTTCTTAAAACATACTTTTATAGGAGAGCTTTTCCCGATCTTATTTGACTTTATTTTATCCCTTTTATTTTATTGTATTTTACTAATTTTATATAAATTTTCATGCTCTTATCTTTTTTTGTATTATTCTTTACACTTGTTAAAGCACTTTGTAACTTGTTTTTGAAAAGTGCTCTACAAATGAGGATTATTATTATTATTATAAAAATAAGGATTATTATTATATTTCTAATTTCTTCTGTATTAACGGAGACTAAAGAGGTTTGCAGGCTACATTCACAACACACAGTTTTCCTTCAGTGGCTTTGTGTTTGCATCTGTTTGGGCTGCTCATTAATGCAGCTGAATAGCCAGCTGATGTCCACATGTTCAGCTCTCTGCCTCCTATTCAAGCTGATCACCTGAAGAGAGGTGAAAATGTGCGTCAGTCGCCTTTTCAAGCAGCTGATCCCCATTTGAATAGAGAGCCAACCTGGACAAACACACGATGGCCCGTTAAGTGAACAAACAGCTTCACTGTGATGTTAATGATGTGTTTGGACTCTCTTAGCTGCCGAGAGAAGCAGCAGATGTTTGTGAACAAACTGTCTGTTTCATCTGATTTCTCCATTTAAACAGTAACCATAATATAGCTACTCCTTTGTGGCCCGGGGAGAAAGTCCCAGACTCCCTTCAACAATCCTGCAGTTTCAGAGGACACTTTAGAAACTTTGTGAAACGCTGTCTACGACTAATTCTTAATGATTCTGCCTTCCTGTAAATTCAACATTAAATGTGACACATGAAGTTATTTCTGTCTTTGTTGTACAAAAATTCAGCAGGATATTTTCATGAGCCTCTGATGTGATAATAACAAGCGCTTCATTAAAACTCTGCTCTGTGTGAAGCACACTCCCTCATACACATCAAATATGATCAGCTGGTTTCAGGAAACCAACTAACTAAACTTCATCTTCTGCCTGAAATCAAGGAGCCATGTTTCTAAACGGCCTTAGCGACAGTAACTAAGGGGCGGGGCGAGACGCCGTGACATCGCGAGAACACTCCGCGGGATCCCGCAGCGCTCCTGTATCTCAGCCTGAAGAGCTCCGAGACCAGAATCCAGACTCAGTCCAGGACAACACGGTCCACCAGTCACAGCGGAGACCTGCAGGACGATGGAGAACCAGAACCCGGACCACAGGAGCCAAACAGCAGCCTCGTGCTCTGATAGCGCCGATGTTCAGGTCAGTGTTCATGACTTCATCACGAGACTAAAGACACGAGGAAGAGTCTCGAGGGTCCGTGTATCATCCGTTCATTCTGTTGTTAGAGATCAGAGCCTGAAAACCCGCTCCAGGGTTTGTGTTGACGTGGTTTGATTTCCAAAGTGTCTCCGTGGTTCCTGTTTTCATCTTGAAGAGAGGAAGCTGAAAGAAAAACTCACGAGCGTTTCTCTTTTCTTTGTGCTGTGACTGTCGGCATTTTCCCGCGTTGCGCATGCGCGATGCAGCACTTGTCATGGCGGAGCGCGCAGAACAAACAATGATCCGTCTGATTGATCTGTGAGGAGGATTTCATGTTAACTTCACTGCTGCTTGTTGATGCTTGTAGTTTCTTTGCAGATAATTTTGCTTTTGGGTTGGTTGGTTTTTGGCTGCCAGGGCCCAGGTTGGCAGATTATTCCAGTGTTGCTGTAACTGCTCCACTAAAGTTCAACTCAAATAACTTTCTGTTAGGAGCTTGATTTGTGCTTGTGATTGAAAACACATCACATCTCTGTAGTAAAAGGTTGTAAGTAAATAAGTTGGAAGGTAAGTTTGTGATCAGTTATTGTCCTGAGGGATGAGTCAGCCTTTCTATTGGCTGGTTGTTGACTAACAGAGTTGCAAAGTTAAAAACCAGCTCCTTTGTTTTGGAGGGTTTGAGGTCAAGACAGTTCTGCTGTCCATCTCAGTCTGTAGCTCTTGTTGTCAGAATATTTAATGTATGTTATACCTGATAATGATTATTCCAGAAAGGGCAAACATTAACAAAAAACATTTACATTTTCTAATTTGGCAGACTCTTTAATCCAAAGTGACTTATATTTGAGGAAAAACATACAAGCATCAACAGAGCATCAACTACAGATCTACAACTGACAATACATACTAGTAAGAGCAGCAATAAATACTAGTAAGGGCTCATAGTACATATCACATCAATGGGGTAAATACCTAGGACACAAACACGTCTCTGCATGAATGACGTTTTTGCTTTAACTGCTGGATGTGGAAAATATCTGCTACTTTGCTGTTAGGCACGCCATCGAGACGGTGGTTGAAATTAGGATAAAGCTAGCTCGTTGTGCGCACTGTCAGTTGTAGGTATAACAAGCTAGCAAATGCCTACGCCCCTTCATATTGCAATATTAAAACACAAAGAACTTAATTAAAACACAAAGAATTTAGACTCTTCTCTCCTTTATTTACTTTCTTACCATATTTACAATGCATGACTTTTTGGTCCATATCGCCCATAAATGTACGTTATAGTATCAAAATATGCTTCTCCTATTCTTACAGTACACTTGGAGTGTGGAGTGGTGCAATATAAAATTAATTTGTAGTGGGAGAATCTATCAGTTTTTGCTACGGTAGCACTTTTCAGCAAGCCACCTGGTTGTTAGTTTCAAACAAACTCTAACCTGTATTGTGTAGAGGTGGGAATCACCAGAGGCCCCACGATACGATATTATGGTCCTGTTAAGTTTTCTAGTGGACTAAAAAAGCAATAGATTTTATTATTCTAGTGCCAAAAAGTAAAAACTCCTTTCTGCAATGTATATAATAAAATATTGATACTTGGCGTCCATGTATCGATACAGTATCGCCATGGCAAATATCACATACTATGCCGTATCGATTTCCCCCCCACCCCTAGTATTGTGCTGCCCAGATTTGAAGTTGATCAGTTGAAAATTTTAAATGGCTTCCTGATGTCTTTAGGATATTGTTCCACGAAGAATAGTTAGAAGTCTAGCGATGATCGATCTGCTTCCCAGTTTACAACTAGTTAAAACCCGGGGCTGCTTTGTTGAAATTTTGTACAGGGAACTATTGAGCCAAAGTTTTGTGACTTTTTGAGCATCCCAAATGCCTGTAACATCTTGGGGAAAAAATTGATGACACAGGAAATCCCGAATTACTGACTTCCTGCACTTTAAACCAGAGTAAGTTCAGAATACTCAAAATATTTGTGGAAACTGACGGGAGACAAGACGAGCTTGCATGGAAAAAGCTTTATAGCTCCCAACCATTCAGGCCCAGGTGTGACTCATGCCGCTGATGACGACCTCCCAGAACCACATCCTGCAAGACAAACACAAAGACAGGACACCTAGTGCCTAAAGGAAACTCACTCAACAAAATTACTACTACTCTACTTAAAATTTAAAAAAGCCCATTTTCAGATAGTAGTACTCAAAAATATGAATACAACTCCATTATTACAATTCAAGTTCAACACAAAATAAGGCACATCTTCCATAAAGCTGAATAGACTATTAAAGTAATTATCTGCTTGATCAGATAATTAACAAGCAACAATTCTGATAATTAATTTTCATTCTTTTATGCAATAATGTTGAACATTCCCTATTTCCAGATTCTGAGGGTGCTTTCACATCTGTAGTTCGGTTCATTTGGACCAAGTGAGAAAAATTATACACTCTTGTATTTTAGTTCTCATCCGTTCATGTTCACACTGCAGTTTTACAAACGAACCAAGAGAAGTAAACATGAAGTTACACAGTCGTACAGGTAACTTGTTGATTGGACAGCTTTGGCGATTGTCATCCTGCATCATCAGGACCCACATGGGGGGGGGAACTCCAGTGACCGACGAAGTTTCTGCAGCACTTTAATGCTTCTGATCTATCATCAAGCATGATTAGTAACATTAGACAGCAGATCGACCACATGGCCTATTATGAATAATAACGTAAAAACAGGACATTCAGTAATAATTCGGGGCCCGTTGGCCGACAGCATAGCCTACTGTGGTATCGCTGTCACAAATGTTTTATGGACTTGAAGAACTGACAGGGTAAACAGAGTACTACTGGCACTCCTTTTTTGACAAATTTGAACCTATTAATCAGGGGAAATATCGGCGCTGCCAAGTATACGTTACCAAATGATTTTCATAAACATACCGGCTTATACAGATCAATTATAAAATCGCTGAACACGTCTTGCAGTCAGACGATGGATTTATTAGCCGTTTAGCTTTGGAAATAATGCTTATCATAAAATCCTGTGGTTGGTTTGTTTGTTTTCACACCACAAGCGAACTGCACCAGAGTTTGCTTGAAAGCGTACCAAGACCTCCTTGACGAGGTGGTCACACCCCATCCTGAAAAGTGACGGGAACCCTGTTCAGCAGCGCGTTTTAGAAATTAATCCACTTACTGGAACCCGAGGAGTCAACAACCAGCCAAACTGCAAACACTGCAGCCTGTCAGACCAGGATGCTGTATCATATAGTCTATGGATATAAGCTATTTTAAAAACACAAAGCAGGTCCCTCCCGACATTTTTACTGATCACGTATTCATAACAGCAGCAATGAGGATGATTTTTACAAAGCATAACGTTAGAACGTTTTTAACGCCACTGTTAGATAAAAAAAAAAAATCAAGCAAGTGTCTCGACTTCAGAACTAATGTTACTGTTTTGTACATGTATTTATAAGAAGTATTCAGTGCTCTGACATAACACAAAACGTCGACACCCTCTCCTGCCAAGTGAAAATCCTAATTTGAAAATTAACATCCTCACCAATTTCACCAGAGCGGCTGGACACACCCACCCAAAATGGCGGCGCCCAGTAAAGACACAAGGTCTTCTAAAACCAAAACATATATCAGACCGTATGCAACGTTCAGTACTTTCTCTCAGTGCAAAATAAATCTACCTTTTGCAGTAATGTGAAAAAAAATGAACAAACAGTTTTAAATGAATTACCTCGCTCTTGAACCAGCAAGGACTGTGCGTCGCGGGAAATCCCACGGACATCAAAGCTAACGATGCTGCTAGATGTCTCCAGCTCTATATATCTAAACACTGAATTTACAACTAAATTCTTACAGCAGTTAGCTACCACGTTTGTAGTGTTGTAGTCAGTTTTTTTAGCTGTATTTTCTCCAGGTTTCTACGTTTTTCAGTTTTCATCCTCCACAGCAGCGCGTCTGTCTCCACACACACGGCAGCGGAGGGAAAAAAAACTTTCGCTCGCTCAGAGATACGGGTCTGCATAGTCTGCATTAAAAAGAAACACCTAGATACTTAGAGAAATTCCCACCAGACTGCCAGGGAAGGTCATTTTTACCGGTTACGATCATTCCAGCGCTTTTCATTATGGAACGCAGACCGTGAGGTAGACTGGTCCAATGCTAGTTATTTTTCAAATCCGTACACCATCCGGGCATTTTTGGTACACTGTGGACATTGCTTTTGTATGCAGTCTTCATACTACATTTAGGTCAAATCACTACGTACTACTAGTACAGTAGGCGGTTTGGAAAACAGCCTTAGGTTGTGGTATAGGTCAAGCTTTAAGACGGGACCTTATATTTCCCATAATGCAACTCTTTAATGTGATGTGGCTCAATTTATAAGAAATGTCAGTATCTGTGATGATCAGTCAAATTCCGATAGAGGTCGGTGCCACCCCAGGCCCCTCTGTGGACACACCCCTGCAGCTGGTTGTCACAGGTGGTAATGCAGTAGTCAAACCGTAACATTGTGGTTTTTGTTCCACAGACATGCTCTGAATATAATTTATGGTTCTAGATAGCTCGCTCCATCATGACTTTTCACTTACTGTCTTTCTCTCTGTATGTCTGTTTGTTAATATAGAAACGGAGAGGAAGAGAAGAACTCAAACGTCACCACTGTCGGCACTGTGACAAATCCTTCAAAAGATCTGGGCATTTACAGATTCATCAGAGAGTTCACACTGGAGAGAAACTGTACAGCTGTGACCAGTGTCGGAAAACTTTTACTCAGTCAGGTAGCCTAGAAGTCCACAGACGTATTCACACTGGAAAGAGACCATACAGATGTGACCAGTGTGGGAAAACTTTTACTCAGTCAGGTAGCCTAGAAGTCCACAGACGTATTCACACTGGAAAGAGACCATACAGATGTGACCTGTGTGGGAAAACTTTTACTCAGTCAGGAAGCCTAGAAATCCACAGACGTGTTCACACTGGAGAGAAACCGTACAGCTGTGATCAGTGTGGGAAAGCTTTCGCTAGAACAGGTGACCTGGCAAAGCACCTGCGTGTTCACACTGGAGAGAAACCGTACAGCTGTGACCAGTGTGGGAAAGCTTTCGCTACAACAGGTGACCTGGCAAAGCACCAGCGTGTTCACACTGGAGAGAAACCGTTCAGCTGTGACCAGTGTGGGAAAGCTTTCGCTACAACAGGTGACCTGGCAAAGCACAGGCGCATTCACACTGGAGAGAAACCATACTGGTGTGACCAGTGTGGGAATGCTTTCACTACATCAAGTGGCTTGGTAAAGCACAGACGCGTTCACACTAGAGAGAAACCGTACTGGTGAACGTTTGACGTGCTACAGCAAACTTTCAATGATTCACTCATTGTTCTGCATTAATGGGTTATGATTATTGACAACTTAGAACTTAGCATTTACGTTCTATGTTACCTTAATTATGCAGATGACACAGATTTACATAACCATTTCACCAGGGGACTATGAACCCATACAGGCGCTGAGTAACTGTATTGAGCAGGTCAACGATTGGATGTGCCAGAATTTTCTTCAATTAAACAAGGATAAAACTGAAGTTATTGGTTTTGGAGCCAGGGAGGAACGATTGAAAGTCAGTGCTCGACTTCAATCTGTAATGTTAAGAACCACAAATCAAGCCAGAAATCTTGGTGTAGTCATGGACTCAGACCTGAATTTGAGTAGCCACATTACGACAATTACAAAGTCAGCCTACTATCACCTGAAGAATATATCAAGGATTAAAGGACTTATGTCTCAGCAGGACCTGGAAAAGCTTATCCATGCATTTATCTTCAGTCGACTCGACTACTGTAACAGTGTCCTTACAGGCTCCCTAAGAAATCCATCAGACAGCTGCAGCTGATTCAGAACGCTGCTGCTCGAGTCCTCACTAAGATCAAAAAGGTGGATCACATCACTCCAGTTCTGAGGTCTTTACATTGGCTTCCTGTTTAGGGCCAAAATACATTTCCGATCTTCTGCTTCGTTACGAACCATCCTGACCTCTCATGTGGTCTGGGGCAGGTCTGCTTTCTGTCCCCAGAGTCAAAACTAAACATCAAGCGTTCAGTTATTATGCTCCGTATATATTTGGAACAAACTCCCAGATAACTGCAGGTCTGCAGTTAGTTCTATTAAATTAAATTAATTATTATTCTTTTTATTGATAACTTGCACTGTAACTTTTACTGTCCTGTTTCCCTTGGAGGGAACTCGAACTGCGTCGGTGTGGGTATCTATCGGAACGCCTCTGGGCATGGCAGGGCTGAAATCATGAATGAAACTACTCCAATCCTATTGGTGTTGCTAGAACTGTAGCGTGTGACGGCGTAACCGGAGGCGTACATTAGCACGCCGACACACAGGACACATTAGCCTTTTTCTATTCAGCAGGCACTCTGGCATGTTTGAAACTACGAAAGAATTACAACCACAAAGAAATTTCTTACCTGGAAGGAAGTCTGGCAGAGGAGATGGCTGGTGAGCAGTTCAGGCAGTGTGTTTCCCATGCCCGCGCTACATCACGGCTGGGGACACTCATGCCCTGTGAGTGGTGCCGGGCCTTGCCATTCTTCCCTGATTTACACAATGAGTTGTGTAAGAGGTCCTGAGGTTTCGAGTAGTCCAGTATAATACCTTCTGGAATACTGTGCATGAGAGATTCTCCCCGAGGGGAAATCTGCTCCGTGTGATACAGGTTAAGAGCAAGTGCCTTCGTTCCCTGTCTGTATGGAGGAAATCTTGGTTCCTGTCCCAAGGTCCCGTGTTGGGAGCGATCTGTCGCCGAACAATTATTTCGACAGACGCCTCACTCATGGGATGGGGTGCGGTCATGGACGGCTGCTTTGCGAGAGGCTCCTGGCAGGAGCATCATTTCTCCTGGCACATAAATTGCCTGGAAATGTTGGTGGTATTCAGAGCTCTGAGGAGTTTTCTGCCCACCCTCCGCGGTCGCCACGTCCTTGTCAGAACCGACAATATGGCAGTGGTGGCCTGTTTGAATCACCAGGGGGGTCTGCGCTAACGCCCGTTATGCAAACTGGCACATCAGATCCTCCTGTGGTCCCAGCAGAGACTGCTGTCCCTCAGAGCGATGTACGTCCCTAGGACCCAGAATCAGGGAGCAGACCTGCTGTCAAGACAGGGGCTGAGGCCCGGGGAATGGAGACTCCACCCTGAGGTGGTGGAGTTATTATGTGAAAGGTTCGGCCCTATAGATGTGGACTTGTTTGCATCTCGAGAGACTACGCACTGTCCCCTGTGGTTCTCCCTCTTGCCCCCAGCCTCGCTAGTCTGTATGCCTTTCCCCCAGTCACTCTGCTCCCGGGGGTTTTGGAGCGGGTCTCTCAGGACGGCGTCAGCCTACTACTAGTAGCCCTGTTTTGGCCGGCACAAGTGTGGTTCTCGGATTTAATATCGCTCCTGGCAGGTCCCTCTGAGGAGAGACCTGCTGTCCCAGGCGGAGGGCCGGTTCTTTCACCCGCCCTGTGGCAGCTGTGGGTCTGGCCCCTGAGGGGGCGCAGTTCCGGTAGGCGGGCCTAACGGCAGGAGCGGTCGAGCCACTACTCGGCTCTAGAGCCCCATCCACAAGAAGGACGTGGACTGAAGTGGAATGTGTTCGCCACCTGGTGTAGAGAACCTGCTCGGTAATTATGATACTGGAGTTCCTCCAGCACCGTTTCTCCGCAGGCCTCTCCCCGTCTACGCTCAAGATGTATGTGGCTGCCATTGCAGCATTTCATGCCCCTCTGAGTGATGGGCCCTTGGGGAGGCTTCCACTGGTTGTGTGCTTCCTCCGTGGAGCCCGGAGGATGAGACCCGTGACTCGTTCCAGGGTTCCCACCTGGGGACCTGGCAGTGGTTTTTGAAGCGCTGGCTGAGGCCCCCTTCGAACCCTTGGAGTCGGCTAAGGTGGCTGAAGATGGCCTTTCTCCTCGCTATCACGTCTCTGAGGAGGGTTGGGGATCTCCAGGCAATTTTGGTTTCTCCTCGATGCCTGGAGTTTGCCTTGGGGAGGGTGAGAGCTATCCTGCACCCTTGTCCGGGCTATGTCCCTAAGGTTCCGTCCAGTTTGGCAGGGTCCACGGTGCTGCAGGCGTTTCATCCCCCACCTCATGTGACGGCGGAGGACAGGAGACTAGTATTTACACTCTGAGGTCTTCCCGGTGGAGGAAAGCAGACCAGTTGCTGGTGTGTTTCAGGTCCCCCAAGGCTGGGCTCCCCGCTTCTAAACACACGGATCAGCAACTTGATCGTTCAGACTATTTCCCTGGCCTATCAGGTGCGCGGTTTGCCTTCACCTATGGCCGTAAGGGCGCACTTAACTCGAGGCATGGCGGCTTCTAGGTCCCTCGTCGCATGGGTGTCACTCCAGGATTTGTGTGACGCGGCTGGCTGGGCCACCCCTCACACTTTCATCCGGTTTTACAGTCTGGACCGTCCTTCTGCACCTGGCACCCGTGCGCTCTCCTGTTAGTCATGCCTCAGGTTTGCACACTGGGGGCAGGCGGGGTTCAGCGCGGCCTAAGTGGGTATCTCGTTTCCATAGTGTCGTCACCGACGCAGTTCGAGTCCCCTCGAAGGGGAACGTCTCGGGTTACGTATGTAACACTGCTCATGTGTTCTGTTTATTTTCCTGCTTTTTGTCCTCTGACAAATACCAAAGTTTATGACATATAGATTTGGCATTAGCCTACAAAGAGTACTTCTAAATATATAGAAGGCTCCGGTGAGGCTTCCCCACATACCCTATGTTCTTGGGTGCGTTGAGTCTACGCGGGTTGGCCGTTAATCGGAAGGTAGGCGGTTCGATCCCTGGCTCCCCCTGGTTGCGTGTCGAAGTGTCCTTGGGCAAGATACTGAACCCCGAATTGCCCCTGGCGGCTATTCCGCCAGTGTATGAGTGAGTGTGAATGTTAGTTTCCGTTTGAGCACTTAGGCTCAGTGTATGAATGTGAATGACTGGTGAATGCAGATGTAGTGTAAAAGCGCTTTGAGTGGTCGAAAAGACTAGAAAGGCGCTATACAAGTACGGAGCATTTACATTTACGTCGCGACCAACTTGCGTCGTAAGTTAGCTAGAAAATACCAAAGCCTGGAAAATGCATACTGCCAGGGAAATGTAGATTTAATTATGCAGGATACCAGCTGCAACTAGTGCATCTATCTCCTCTGTTACCAAGCAAACATTGATGACAGATGCTCTATTCAAGTAGCCTACTAACTTTTGTTCAGTCATGAAAATGTGGTTTGCAAATTTATTGGTCAAAATGTGTATGAACCCTGCCATCGGATGACCAAAGGTGGAATTCTCATAGAAACAAATTGATTTGACCTGTTTGTACCTTTTTAATAATCCTCTATATGTCATTACCTTTTGTTCTTTGCTCATCTTGTGTGGTGTTATATTTTTGTACCAGTGTTTTGATATAATGACCTTCTGTGAGATTGTTTTGTGTCATGCTTTCCTGTGAAAAAGGAGTTTCCACTGTGGCTCAAGGCTGAGAAAGGCTTTTCTGTTAGACTGGCATTAAATGTCTTCTCTGTTTCTCTGGGTCAGACTCTCTAACAGCCCTCTGGTGTATGAGCTCTGCCCTTCAGCCCTTCAGCTGAATCTCTGTTATACTTTTTAATAAATATTGCAAAGACAACTTTTTGTCTTTATTTCTTAATTTCTTCAGAAGGAAATATACAATTTACACCACAAATTAGTTGGCGTAACCTCAGACTGTCTCCGTTCCATAATGGCAGAGCTTTACAGGTGCACATTAGGGGTGGGAATCTCTAGGCACCTCACGATTTGATTACGGTTCAGAGGGCTGCAATGCCATTATGAAATGATTATTGATGCACCTTGATGATCATGTACATTTACTGCTAGGTTGACAACTTACTAACTTAAATATTTTCACCCGCTAACTTTCATCGTCACTTTCTGCAGCTTGCTCTCTCATTCGCTTACCCACTCGCTCGCTACACACACAGGAGAAACAGGCCTAGCGCTGAGTGTTACCCACTGCAGCAACTTGTTACCGTGCTCGCACAGTGTGCGAATGAAACCGCTGCGCATTCATATTAATAAGCGTGTGAAAATTTAGTAGCAGCGGTCATTCATTCTGCAGCGGCGCAATGCGTTGAATACAATGGGAACTGGTCTCTTATGTGCACACCACAGATTGTCCAGGCGCTGCACTTCTGAGAGTTCCGCTTTTTGTTTTCCGTGAACATTACGTTATCAATTAACATTTAGATAATCAATTTGTTAATCGCTTCAGAATCTTCCACGTCTGCATTGTGATTCATCTAAGAATCAATTTTTTTCTCATGCATTTTTGTTAAAGGGAATGTAAAGGTATGTCACACCATACTTCACTCTGTTTTGCACATTGGGACGGGGTTCCACCTGACTATATCAAATATTTACTATATGTATTTGTATATAGTGT